GAAAACAACAGTTCGTAAAGGAAAACGAATCGTTTCATGTTTATAGTTACATCGTTGTACTAATTGCTACTTGAATGTATTCCTTTTGTAGCTTTGTTTTCACACACACACACACTTTGTTATCTTTTATTTTATACGTGGTGGAGCCACGCTGCAGCTGGTTGTAGCATGAATGGGTCGGTTCACAGAATACCAGCGTAAAAAAGCAGTTTAATGCTGCTGTGTTTCGTATGGTGATTGCAGAGAACCGGAGACCCATTTTACTGGAATCGAGGCATTCCATCTTAGTCCTCAAGGGTGACAACGCATCTGCATTTTGATTCTTAATCGATATTGAATGTAGATAATAATAGAGCATACACTACATCAGGTGGACCGTGTGCTCGTTTGTCACCCTTATCCTGTAAAAAAAAACACGTCTTATAATTTATCAGCAGGGCTGTCAAATAATTAAAAGCACATGTAACATTACAAGATCATCTGCTGAGATTGAGATCTTGAATATTCAATGTATTCATTAATCGAATAAACCTACTTAAAATGTTCTTACGTTCACTTGATCTAATATTAAAACATTCGAGATTAAGGCGTTTGATATGACGTTTTCCAGATGTGAAATATGCCTTACTTTATCTGAAGTGCGCAATTAAACCCGCAAGTGATTTTTGTCGAGAACCATAATGTGTATAAACGTTACTATAAAAACAACTAACAATCTCAAAATTTAAAAAAGAAGCGAACTAACAGTACCTAGTCATAGCGCGATTGTTTAGCTTTCATTTAAGTTAGACGAATCAAGTTTTTTGTCGACTCAAGAAACATTCTGCGATTTTTCTTATATTTCAAATACAACACGCCTAATTATATTAATAACCGAAGGAAGTACGTAAATGGCGTGAATAAATTTAAAGATTTTTCCTAAACTTATCGCGTCCTAACGTAGTAGTATTAGCAGCGTGTCGTTGATTCATTGGCTGATTGAAACTGAGTATCACTAATTTAATAATCACTTATTAAAAGTGATTCTTAATACAAGTAAGGGTGATAAACGAGCACACAGTACAGCTGACGATTCTGATAGTAAGTGAATGCTGTGGTGCGATAAATAGCAAAAAGGGTTCAGGCCAGTTCTCCACACTCACCATACAATACGCGGCATACTCGTATGCTGCTATTTTATGTTGACTCTGCTGCTTACTGACAGACTGTCGTGCAATAAAAAACAATTTTATTTTCATTTGTTGTGTGGAAACAAATAGAGAGCGTAACAAAGCCTCTACTAAGCTTTGTAATTTCTTGTTATTCCGTTTCTTCTTTATTTCTCTATGGTCCTTCTTAATTTATTTCCACGATTATGTTTTATATTCAAATGTAAAAAAATACACTGTTACAATTAAATATTAATACCTATAATTTGTTTATGGTTTAATAAACAAATTATATTACAACTGTTCTGTTTTAGTTATTTTTATTCTATGTATTTAATCTGTGGCATTATTGAGGTAAGTATAACCTACTTACTTCTATGTATATTAGACTAAGTATCCATATAAACCGTGGTTGAAATTAGCAAGACTTCATGATCATCCCAAATTCAGTTCATTTTACTTAAAGTCCACATTTTCTCTTCATAATGGCGCAGTACGTACGGAATTAACTATTGCTATAAAGTACTATTTATTGTCGACCCACGCGTTCGGTATTACACACTTATAAGCACATACGTGGGTGTACCAGCTCTCCGTTTACGGTGGTGATTGTATCATCGAGCGACTATTTAGCATTAAAACTTTGTAGTTTAAATAAATTAACCTCAATGCTGTCGTGTTTCATGTAGAGAACCGGAGACCATTTTTACTCGAAACGAGGCATTCCATCTTAGATCTCAGTAATCATAGGTGATAACGCATCTGCATTTTGATCCTTAATTGAGGATAGAATGTAAATGTCTGTGGGGCACAGCATCCACTTATCATCAGGTGGACAATGATTCTCTTTTGTATTAGTTGGTTTAAATATATATCTACAATTATTTGTGTTTATTAAGGTTAATTAATAACCTTAATAAACACAAACAATTATAGACTATAGTTCAGTGTTAACAAAAATCAAGCTATGTAAATGTTGAGTGGTATTATAGTGCGTGCAAATCTGCACGCCCGAGAGAGCACGCAGTGGGATAATAGGCCGGCCTACGCTCTGGTACTTTCTTATAATAGGATGCACCCTGTGCTCTTTAGTGTGACGTGTAAATGACAATTTTACTATTTTATGTATGTAAGTCTATAATGTCGTAACAGCGTGAGCTTACGTCATTCCATCCTTAATGACGAAAATGGGAGTAACTGACGCGCTGGCACGAATAAAATTGGTAGTTGAAATTATAAGCACTGATTTACCATGCTCGACGGTGAAGGATAAGCTCTTGAGGAAATCTGCATGTTCACCGGAGACACATCAATGGTAAATACCGTATAGAATCATCGCGGCGGACTCTCAGGGAATAAGAGAGAGGTCGCCTGTGCCAGCCATGAGACAACAGTAACTTACCATAACAGGGAAATTAGTAAGAAAGCTTAATAGAAATACAAGGCAAATGTCACAAATAGGACAGCTTTTAAATCACAGAACAACAACACATTCTACCGAGAGGTTGTAACATTAACATATCTAATGTATTCTACCAGTTTGCGGTGTTATTATTTTTAAAAGGACAGCTTTACATAAATATAGATTAATAAATCTTAATTTAGCCGTTTATATTCCTTAGTTGTAGACTATAAACCGTATTAAAGTATTAAAAATATGAACGCTATTTTCATGACGCAATAGATAAGATATACATAATTTAAACTTAATTACCATACTAAATAGCGAAGAATTTCATTTAAATTAGACATGCTCACAACAGGGAGACGAATCTCGTTCTTTACAAATAGACATAAATGTTATGATTTGTTGTACAATTATCGAATAACAGACGCGCGAAGCGAATCGAAAAGGGATCGAGTTTCCGGATGAGATAATATTAATTTATATCCTTTCTAAAAATTGTAAAAATTAGATCACCTACTCAATATATGGTTTAGAGGCATGTTAAGTTCAAATGCATTTGCTACAAATTGATCAATTTGATCATAATCGATAGAGTTAAGTTAGCAGTAAACTGGTATAATTAGGGTTGCCAGATAGTCATTTTAATTGATCTCCAGAATCCCGACAAAACTCAAAATCTTCAGACAAACAGCTTCTCTTCATATGTCTTTGATTTAATAAAAACTGAGTTAGTAATTAGACAGGACTTTGAAGTAAATCTTTTCTGAATACTTCTACAGGTTCTAAATTGGTGGACTAAGTAAAGTTCAATGCCAAATACATGTAGCAACCTAAGTGTCAACGATGTTAAGTTAAAGAAGTAACTTTTTATTTTACATTTTCATTTTTAATATTTATTTCTGCCGACAACACCCAAATCACGACTTTTTAAAATTTTCTCCAGATATTTTGGTCTTTCAATCCAGCATTCCTTGGTATAATTGTGATTCTACTACGTCGAATAAAACTGTTAAGACATTCTTAGGGCAAAATAGAATCATTAATTTGATGGAATATTGCCAATTTATCGAATTAATTTTTTCAAAAGGGTACTGATTTTGATCGACAAATACCTGTATGACCTAAACTGATTCTCAACAAAGAACAGCTGGTCCATATATGTAACGGAGCCAGGCATGTATAGTATGTAATTGTTTCTGTTTATATATTAAGTTATATTTTAATTGAAAAACTTACAACACATTTTTAAAATATTTAACCTCAAACTATCATTCATGAAATGACATTGGCACCTAAGCAAGGTACCTTTTAAGCAATATGGGGCTGAGTGTTTGTATGTTATTTAAATTCCCTAGCATACGCACTTGCTGGCCTCCGAAAGGTCCGGCGTGACATAACAGTAACACGGTGACATCACCTTTGTAAATTAGGAAAACGGTCGCAAAATGTGTGGAAGCCTCGAGAATTATTGCAATTATTTGCGTACTTAATCACGGCAAGTCTACAGATTAAGTATAACCTATTTTATTTATATTTTAAATTTAAATTATTTTTATAGTTCAAATTTGATAGTCAAAAAGGAGATAAAAAAATAATGGGCAATATAAGGAAACTACTTTTGTACTATAAGAAAAGAGAAACGCGAGATTAACGCTATAAATTATTTTATGGATAATTATGTTAAAATTTGTTTTTATTTCATAGTTAAATTCTAACGTCCTCATAACGTACTTATGACGTAATAGATCGTGTCACCGTGTTCAAGGGCAAAAACATGGTAGATGAATTATTAATGAATAATACTCGCAGAATATAATATTGTATGTTTCCAGGTATATTCAATCAAATCCAAGGATATAATTTATGTGCGATTTGTAGCTGTAAATATTAAAAGTATTAAACAATGACTGATGTAAATTGTAATTAACTATTTAATAACAGTCTATCAAAGTGCACTGTAAAACATAGATCTCCTTCATAGCTTGACTGTTAGGGAGAATTTTTGCCATTCTGTCAGATGGATAAGCAACTGAATTTTTTGTTACCTACTTTGTCTTTTACTCTGAATGATTTTTGACAGGTAGTGAATTCTTTTACGCTGCCTCTACATGACGCCATTGTATTAAATGTATTGAAGACAAGGAATATCCCTTGATGTTGTGGCATTCCACAATAATAATAATAATATATTATGTCATTTATTCTAACTGTATTTTCAAATGTTGTTCCCGTAAGATGAAATTGGTTGCAAAATATTATTTCCTAACACATCCATTCTTGTATTTACTTTGTAGTTCTTTTTACTAAAATGCATCGTTTCATATTTCCTATAAACAACACTATGTCGTCTCCAAGTCGTCGTGTATGGGTACCATAATGAAATGGAATATAAAATAAAACAATTGTTTACAATATAGTGCATCGTAAGGTAAAGTAGCACTTACCAAAGTAACGATATCGGCGGGATTCGCGGCCGCTATCCTCCTCAGGCGCTCATACAGCATATCCAGCAAGCGCTGGTGCTTGGCGTTAAGCTCGTCCAGCTCGCGGGCCACGCAGTCCGCACCGCACGGAACATGTTCCGGCGAGATGTTCCGGCCGCGGCGCCGCAGCCGTTCCGCCAGCTGCGCGTCCGCCTGGCGCCGCAGCTGCCGCGTGTCCAGCGACGGGTGGATCTCCTCACACAGCCACTCCGCGTAACGCTGACACCTCGACGCGTGGATCTAATTTGTTGCTTGGTTAGTGTTTAATTAGGTTAGTTCTTAACGGACCGTTTTTGAATTTCGAACATTTTTCTAAATTCAAATATAAATCTAGTGATTTCTTATATTTACGCGAACACTACACATTGATTAAAACTACTTTTACGGATTTTATCGCGTTAATTTTACTATTATTTTTAATTCCCGACGTTTCGGGCGTATAAAAATATAAATCATCAGAAATTGTTATTTTTTTAAAAATTAAATAAGTTAGAACTTAAATGATATACGAAGCTTCTAAAAACAGTCCGTTTCTGGTTAGGCGTTCAAATTAGAGATATTGTTGAAGCTTTTCATAAACTATACCTCACACGCATCCAGTACATTCATTTTAATTATATTGTCTGTGTTTGTGAGACGGTTTCTTTTTCGGTCTTCCATGCATCAGCATTCAATACTCTCATAACCATTGATTCATCAACTTTTTTTCTATTATGTCCAGATTTAGGGTCTCCCAGGGCAAAGTTCATGCTGGAAAAATTTATTCTACTGGTATTCACAAGCGTGCAACACCCAAACTAAGTGCTTAGTGCGTGTGTTTTCAAACGATCATTGCACTTGCGTGCTTCTATATCTTAATTATATTCAAAAATTGCAATATTTTTTCCTTGTACATATTTCTTTTATTTTGTGCAGGCAACACTGACACTCAAACAATGCATGCAAAGCGATTTCTATTGAAAAGAACAATAACCTCTCATGAATTCAATAATTTTGAAGACCATTTCCATGTATAAGAAACCTATTTGTAATTCAAATTATCGTCCATATTTAAAGAATTTTGGTAGCACATTGGTAATACAAATTTTATTTCGCTTTAGCCCCAAACCGTATGATTGAAAACAATAGCAGTAATATATTGCTGTTTCATATGAAAGAAAAAATATGTTTCGCACAATCACACAAACTCATTCATGATTGATTTTAGTAATATCAGCATTCCAGTCAAGCGTTAGAGACCTCAAAGTGCTATAAAAGCAGAAATTATTAATGAAGCTTTTTTTTTAAAATGCCGCCATAATTTTTTTACAAGTCATTTTTTATAAAAGCATTAGATAGTGATCGAAAATGCGCTGTAAAATGCATGCACTTAAAAAAGACAAAATGGACCAAGTAGAACCTCCGCTATACAAAGAGACCTTGGAAAAGACCCAAAACGGAAAGACGAACTAGCAAACCGGGGAAATATGCAAGGGAAGACGCTGGACCGAAACATACTTAAGACCTTTCATAAATAAAAAACAAAATGCATTAAAGTATCAAACGTTTCTTTAAACTGGCGTTTAGTGGAATTTATTTTTTAACTAATTTTGCATAACCTAAACGAATCGTATTAAAGTTGTTATATAGTAAAAGAAAAAATGACGGCTCCGTGGCGCAGTGGCTTAGCAATAAGTGGCTGCGCTGGGGGCCGCGGGTTCGAATCCCGCACGTAACAAGTATTTGTATGACCTACAAATAATTGTTCCGTGTCTGGATGTTTGTCCTTTCGCAATTTATGTTTGTAAACTGCCTCCACGATACAGGAGAAAATCCTAGCGTGGGCGTAAAGTAAAAAAAAAAATAAGACGCGAAAAAAATTGGCTGTAAAATTCCATTGATTTGGAAAGAACGAGAAATTCCACAAAACGCCATAAGTATAAAAAGTCACCTGTATATAGTTACCTTAGCCTCACGTATAAACCTCCCGCCGTCTACATTAACCTTCTCTATCTTTGGTGTCCTCTCTACGACACTTGTAAGTAGAGTCTGCAAAGAAAATTATGTTTTCATCGTCCTCCTGGCTCATTTAGAACACAAAGTCAGAATTAACTGAGCAGGCAGGTTATGTTGTTACGAATGCAGGTGCTGACACTGGATCAGGAGTCTACCTACTGTTGGATATAGGTGTCTTGCGTTGTATTTAGGATTTATCTTTGATCGTCACGCATGGTACGCGGACTGACGTGAGCTCCTTCGATGCTCTGTTTGTCTGTCTGGATCTTTCACGTGTGATGTAAACGAGAATATTATACCGCTATCTATTGCCTACGCCCTAAATGTTCAATGTCACACACTACAAACACACATAATTAAATCACTAAATCATTGTTGCCTAGTAATAGTCTGATCTAATTCTTTTATCTACTTCCGAACCAAATAAATTAATATAATATTGAAACAGGGTGTTAGTGTAAACACCGTTATCTTTGAAACCAGTGGTTTGGTTTCACTTATAGAACGTAAATTCAATGAAAAATAACAACTTTTTTTAGTAAAATCTCAATTTTTGCTTAATTCCTCAATTTTTACCTGTCCTAAGCCGGGATGAAAGTATAAAGGAAAAGTTACCTATACCTACCTATTATGTAACTAGTAAGTAGCTATTGTGTTTTTATTGGAATGTTGTGTTGCTAGCTAGAGCGGACGGTGATCTTTACAGTGATTACGTCACTCGGGCGCATAGGGTATCCATGAATTTACGGACGGTGTCGGACAGAAACTTAAAAAATAGCGTTTTTTTTAATTCATTGAATTTACGTTCTATAAGTGTAACCAAACCACTGGTTTCAAGGATAACGGTGTATACACTAACACCCTGATATATATATATATATATATATATATATATATATATATATATATATATATATATATATACACAACATGTAACATAATTAACGCACTTTGAGAAAGTAGTTTGTTCAGAATCGTTTACTGAATCGATTCCTATCATTTTTAATATAGGTAATTTTTTATCCCAAAAATAATTAAAACTACGTAAATTACAGTCACACTAAATCTGTACAGTCAAAACAAACTGAAATGGACCTTAATTTAAGGCAATAAGACTTTTAAGAGTGCAGTTTTATTTGTATTATTACTAATTCTGTCATTCAATAAAGATAAAGAAAAATTAACTTTATTTCAAGCACGTTAAAGTCTTTGCGTTCGTGGATTTGTACTGTGACTACAACATTCTTCCGGGATTAGTATAACTAATTTGATAAATAATCAGTGCATAAAAATATTTAACTAAAAATTCAGTGTATGTATTATGATTATAACATAATATACTAATTGGGGTGTCTGAGGGTGTGGTTAATTACGTTACATATTGTATATACAGCAGTAATGTACACACCATTACTGAATTCGAAGGGTTTGGTACCACCTGTATAACTACAGGCTCAGTTCATAGGACGCTTCTCTTTTGAAGTTTGCAGGCTGCAGAAGTCACTTAGATTCAGGAGGACTGTAAGTTTGTTTGTAATTCTAATATTAAAATGAAATGAAAAATACGGAAGAGTTAGCTATGGCTCGTCGACGGTTATTAGTTAACGTAACTTGTTTGTTGATTTTCGCTCATCGACTAGTTGATTAAGTTACCCTAAAAAGTTATCGTTTTAACGGTAGATCATCGCAGTCTATTCATTCTGATTATGATGTATTATGGACGGTGGTGCGTGTTTCTTAGTGTCGTGGTGTTGGGAGTGTAAAAGTTAACAATATAATGGCTTTCTACAAAGTAACGCCTGTCAATTATGTCAACGTGTCAAAAAATAGGTAACGTACTAGACCCAAAACAAACGGCCAGCAAAAGATCATTATCGCTAGCTGTAAAACCTAAAATGCCGTAACGGCTCCCAGGATCGGCCCATAGTGGTTAGCCGTGAGGAGATTCCGGGTAAATGGGTATGCCCCGAGGTCCGGAACCTGCTGGGCATTAGCCCACACAGGCGACAACACGTAGGTAACATACAACTATAAACTAAGTCAATTGCAACATTCAACGTGGATGGACAACGCGGCCCGTCCGCCTCACATCATATTGAGTATTCAGAAACATTGCTTTTTAAGTTAATTGATGGTTATCCTACTAAATAACAGTTAGATGAACTTCCTTATGGGATTTTCTTACAAAAAAGGATAAGTTTCAATTGTCAACCCACATATAGTTGACTTAGAGTTCCAAAGTTCAAAAAGTTCTTAGAGGCCTCTGCTGATTTGTGAGAGGGTCTTAGGGCAAGGAACTGTTCTCCACGCTGCCCCAATGGGTGTTGGCGAACTTCACATGTATTTGAAATATTTTTTTCTTATTTCTCGAACATGCAGGTTTCCTCACGATGCTTTCTCTCACCGCCGAGCATGTGGTATTTGCACTTAAAATTACAATTAACTATTTCATTGGTGCCGGCGGGGATCGAACCCGGTTTTCTCGCGTACTGTGAAATTTACAGCGAGCGTTCATCATCTGAGATACCACGGCTCAGATAACTAACCAACCCAATAATAAATTTGAATCACATGTTTCGTAGTTATTAGTGGGTAAAAATTTAAAACTAGTAAGGTTGCGTACTTTTTTGTGGAAAAACTAATAATCGTTAATTAAACTAGTCGTATGATTCAAAGGTCATCGCTAAGAATCACTAGTCCAATCACCAATCTATCCTACTGCAATCCCGTGCTGCAGTTGGCACGTGATACTCACGCGGGTGGGCTCCAGGTGTTCTTTGGCGGCCCGCGGCTGCTGCTGCAGGCGGCTGTAGGTGCCGTCCACCCAGTCCACCTCCTGCTGCAGACCCGTGCTGTAGTTGCGGAGCATCTGGTACGCCGCTTCGAGGCTCCGCAACCTATTGCGAAGCACAATGTACTAATTAGTGAGTCACCTCGAGTTTGTTTTATTTCTTTTCATGTTATCGAACACGGAAAAGAAACAAAAACATAGAAGTGTAAATTGAGAATTATTATTTGCTAAATTTACATTTATAATAACTAAAAAATGTTTGTATTTTTAAATAAAATATTATAAATAATAAAGAAATTACAAGTCCCACCAGTCCACACTAGTGACTTTTTTTTCATATAAAGAAAAGCTAAGCTATAAAGTTCGTATACTACCGCGGGCAAAAAATAGTAAGACTTTTTAATTTAAATTTCGCGCGTAAATCCATTCGTCGAAATTTTTTTTCCTACGTTGGTATGACTGTCAGTGACATCTGTGCCAAATATCACATCAAAGTAATCATTAGTGTTTAGTTGACGCTTGTCTTTTTGAAGTACAAAAAGTGCATTCGGCGATTTTTACAATGAGCGAAATTATTTATATTCATTTATATAACAAAGAAGTTCCATTAAATTTTGTGTGTGGAATCAAATTTCTAGTGCCGAAATGGTCAGAATGTTGCAAAAGGCTTTTGGTGATTATTGTATGTCACGAGCAAGTGTTTTTGATTGGTAAAAATTATTCAAAGAGGGTCGAGAACGCGTTGACGACGAACTACGTCCAGGACGGCCATTAACATCAACTGATGATCAACATGTCAATAAAATCAAGGAATTGGTGCTCGAGAATCGACGATTAACAGCCAGAGACCTTACTGATATCGTGGGAATTTCGGAAAGATCAGTGAAAACCATTTCAAAAGATCATTTGGGCCTAAGAAAAGTGAATGCACGATTGGTTCCAAAATCACTCAATTTTCTTGAAAAACAGCGCGCGTTGACGTCTGTAAAGCAATGCCTTCCGATTACCAGGATGTCGTGAAACATATTATAACTGGTGACGAGTCTTGGATCTACGCTTACGACCCGGAAACAGACGATCAATCGGCCGAATATCGTGCCAAAGGTGAGCCGAAGCCGAAAAAACCACGTCAAAACAAGTCAAAAATCAAGGTCATGTTGACAGTTTTCCTCGATCACCGAGGTGTGCACTCCGAATTCCTTCCAACCGGCCAAACTGTCAACAAAGAATACTATTTGAGTGTTATGCGCCGTTTGCGCGAAGCTATTTGTAAAAAGAGGCCGGAATCATAAGCCGACAACTCTTGGTTTTTGCACCACGATAATGCACCATCGCATACTGCATTGATCCTTCGTGAGTTTTTCACCAAAAATTCAACCAATGTCGTTCCACAACTACCGTATTCGCCTGATATAGCTCCGTGCTACTTCTGGTTGTTCAGTAAACTCAAGCGACCGCTCCGGGGAAACCGTTTTGAGTCAATTGAAGACATTAAACGTGAATCGGTACGCGCATTGAAGGCTATTCCGGAATTTGACTATAACAACTGTTACGAGTTGGAAAAAGCGTTGGCATAAGTGTATTGCGGCCAGGAGGGATTACTTTGAGGGGGACTAAATATATTTGGCAGAATAAAGAATTTTAAAATTATGAACAAAGTCTTACTACTTTTTGCCCTTAGTATAACATATCCTCAGTTGCCACCATTTTGTACTTTTTCTTTACCTTCGTTTATTGATACTATTCTAATTTTTGACGTAAAAGTTGTTAGAAAAAATTTACCTCCACAGCAGTAGGACCACCTGTTCTGCTAACTTTATGGTAAATCGTCTGCGTTGCTTATTCTGTATTGTCAATACAGAGCATATATTGTACTATTAAAATATATACATTAATGTCTTATGTCTAATTTCAATTTATTAGTTAGACATATGGTATCACGGACTTTTTTGTAGATATTGATATCTTCTATAAAACTGTCGTACATAACTTTGCTCTACTGTCAATAGTTTCCGCAGTGTATGCGATATAAGGATTCTTTTCGTATTTTTTTCACGCCGTGTGGTTGCGCGGAAAACCATTCGCGTTTTTTATTTTTGACGGTAGGAACTTGTCGAATCATTATTCCCTTCCGAAACAATATCATTCGTACCCTCCTATCGACACATCGGGGTGGTGGGGTGGGAGGGGAAAGAAGACGATTCTAGAACATCGCGTAATCATCGGACCCGAGGATATATAAGACACGCGCAACCGACGCGCGCTCTCTTCTCCCGCCGCAGTCGTCGTTGAACCAACGCTTCTCTCCTGACGCACCACTGGGGCCCCAGAAGTGTCTGTCCAGAGGAGGTTCCGGAAGTCGCCGCTATAGTGATCGACAGGAAGAAGAAACCCCGGTGAGTCAATACTCCTTAATTATACCTGCTTGCTAATAATTTAACCCGCTCCAATCTGTGTTTTTTTTCCTAGTCAAGCAGGATTCCTTTCATCGATTCGACAAGTAATAGTTTAGTTTAGGGAAGAGCGAGTGCATTGTACCGCATGCTATAGTAGTCGCTTTTAACGTAAGCGTAGAAGCAATCGCATATACAGTCCACTTTAGTTAATATCTCGCGTAATAGGTTTGAGGTTTGACCGGGGAACTAGATTTTCGGCAGCCTTAAACACGTGGCTCCACCATTTTATGGTCACTTCGGCAGGATCTGGATTGGTGTTTAGTGGTTATCCAACCATTTTCTGGTCGAATTATTAAATTAATTGTTTAGATAACGCACTCTAACTTATGGAATAGACTTAAATAGTGTTCGTTTAAATTAAAATTTTGATTTGTTACTCGCAAACAGAATTATTCATTTAATAGCGCTCGTATTTGGTTAAATTTAAAGCTTATTAAATAATTGAAACGGCGTGATAGCAACCGTTTGATACGCTTACCCCACAATTTTATAAAATTATTAGGTTTAGCAAACGACGCGTAGCCTTGACTGCATCGGGCGCTCGATCTGATTACGTAATACAGCACGCCGAGTATTCATCCTACGTCGTTTATGCGTGTGAGATTAATTGTGATTAATATAACTTTATTATAATAATTTAAAATGGCAGTTAGTGGAAGTGAAATCAAAATTAAAACGCTTTATGCCAAGAGGGACATACTCTTTTCGCGTGTGCAAAATATAAGTGATTATATAAAGAACATTCATATAGAGGCAGTACGGGAGGCCTTTTTAAATGAAATCGAAACGATAGATAATTTGCGGACAGATTACGAAAGAATATTAGACCAAATTAATCATTCGGAACTACAAACCGACCCGAAATACATAGTGAACTACCAATAGAAGCTGCTGGCATTCGAAGATATGTTGTGTCGCGTAAAAAGAACTGCAAAACTCCTACAATCTCAAAGCGAAGCAAAGCCGGAAATACAGGTACGCCCTCGTGACTCAATTAGGTTACCGCCAATAGATATTCCGGTATTCAATGGTGATATTAAGACGTGGCCCTTCTTCTTCAGTAGTTTTCAAAACAATATACACAACAACCCATCGTTATCGGACGCTGAAAAATTATATTACTTAATTAGTAAACTTAGTGGCAGAGCACAATCGATATGCTCGGGTTTTACACCTACAGCAAACAATTACGTATTAATATTTGAAACGCTTAAAACTAAATATGAAGATAGGAGAATGTTAGCTTCCGAATATTTGAACCAGATATTCGATCTTAAACCTATATCATCCGCGAACATCAACGGCTTAGAGCAGTTTCTCGATAAATTTGTGGCATCGGTGGCTGCACTTAAGAATTTGAAGTTTGATGACCTTATGGACGTGGTGTTTCTCCATATAGCATTAAAGAAATTAGACTCCGACACCGTGCGTGCGTTTGAAATGGAGCATCGTAGCTCGGAGATGCCTTCCTTTCATTCATTAGCATCGTTCGTGCGAGATCAAATAAAGGTGATGCAGCGCTCACCGAACGTTAAACAGGAGATTAAAAGGTGCGCCGACCGTAGACAGACTCAACCATCTAAAATAGCAGGGTCGTTAACTTACGTAACCGCTACGCCGACATCGCTCCAGCATACTTGTATAGTATGTAAAGATAAACACGGTAATTTATATAACTGTGCGACTTTTCGTAAATATTCACCAAGCGAACGTTATAAGTTAGTAAAGACAAACAACCTATGTTTGAACTGCTTAAGCGATAAGCATTTAGTTGCAAAATGCAATTCGAGTTCCGTATGTAGCAAGTGCGCCAGGAAACATCACACGCTATTACATTTTGAAAATAGCAACATAGCGGCGTCAAGTAAGGCGAATAAGGAATTCACCCCTACTAAGGTCAACGATTCTAGCGGTCGACCTGATGATGTCGCTCTGTGCTCATTGGCAAATATGGGAGCACAACCTCCTTCAACCGTGTTACTGGGTACGGCGCGTATTTTGGTTAGGGATTCGCGTGGAAACAAACAAAGCGTCCGTGCACTGCTGGACAGCGGAGCCCAAAATAGCTTTATAACACGACAATGTTGTCAGCGCTTAGGCTTAGTAATAAATAGGTCACTTTCATGTCCTGTAGTTAAAGGCATCGGAGGTACTAGTAAAGCGACACAGGGATATATAAATTTAAAATTTTATTCTCGGATAGATCGTAACGTTAACTTTGATATAAATGCACTAGTAGTAGATAGGGTCACTGAACGGTTGCCAACCGTTTCGGTTGACACCTCGGCAATGATTGAATTTAAAAATTTGACTCTAGCAGACGACACTTACGCCGTTCCTGGAAACATAGACATGCTCATTGGGGCATCGCTTTTCCCTCATCTTTTGTTAAACAATAAGGTCAGGGGCAACTCCTCGCATACCGCGCCTTACGCACTGGAAACCGTATTGGGCTATGTGATCCTTGGCTCCGCCCCCATCCTAGATAGTATTTCGGCAGCCTCTTATTGTGGTATGGCTGTCGAACCGCTCGAGTCGTTAGTCCGCAAATTTTGGGAGATGGAGGAGGTGAACGTCCCACCCATAGCTAGTCCAGATGACAGGATATGCGAGGAAATTAACGTCCGCACGACCGTTCGTGATCGCGACG